TATATATATATATATATATATATATATATATATATATATATATATATATATATATATATATATATATATATATATATATATATATATATATATATATTTGATTATCTACAGCCCAATTATCCTAACCTGCCTAGTAATCCTAATTAACCTTGGTAAGTCTTTAAGTGTCACTTTAAGCTGTATAAAAGTTTTGAAAAACATCTAGTCAAATATTATTTACTGTCATCTTGGGAAAGATAAAATAAATCAGTTATTAGAGATGAGTTATTAAAACTATTATGTTTAGAAATATGCTAAAAGAATCTTCTCTCCGATAAACAAAAACTGTGGAAAAATATAAACGGGGGCTGATAATTTAGTGGGCTAATAATTCTGACTTCAACTGTATATGCATTTATGAATGTATCATATCATCTTTGCGTTAAATTACAAAAAACAAATTACTGCTTATATGCGAGGTGTTTCCATCACAGCATCTATGTGGCTGAGAGTAATTGTTATTCTCTTTTCCGGCTGCCATTATCAGTCTCACACAATATTTTTTTTCCTTTTTCTGAAAGTCTTGATAACACGATTGAGGAGTTTTTCTTTCATTATTTTAGCAAATAGGATTGTAAAAAAAAATATTTGTTGTACTCTCCGATTCACTGCGCTCTAAATTTAACTAGAGCCATTACTATTATTACTGAAAAACCTGGAAAAAAAAGGGTCTATCGGAATTTGTGGGAGAAAGTGAAGATTGGACAAGATTTGCGAATTGAAAGAGACAATGCTGTGGCCTTCTCAGCTTTTTCCATTACTCTGTGTGTGCAGGCTGATATTTTTAACCTATCTGAGACACGTGTTTTTGTCCTCCTCCCTCAGGCTGACATGGGAATGACCTATTCAGAGCTGTCTGTGATCGGCAGACTCAGGAAGATCTCCAAGTGTGGCCCGTATAGCATGTTTTGCAAGCTCATTAGTTCGTGGAAAGACACCTTCTCTCCCTCACAGGTCAACATGCAGTAAATATTTCAGTACAACATTAGGATCCCATTTGCTTTTTATTTATACTCATTCTTATTCTCATTATACACATAATTAAAAATAATAAGTTAGAACTAGATTATTAAAGTTTGTCGAGACAAACTTTGAGGCTGGCTTGTGAAAGCCTGTTGGTAATAGTTTATTTGGTTTATACAGTTTTAAAAAGTATAGATAGCTAGATATATATATAGATAGATAGATAGATAGATAGATAGATAGATAGATAGATAGATAGATAGATAGATAGATAGATAGATAGATAGATAGATATTACATTTCTAGAATGTTAAAGTACTTAGCTAATCATTATTAGCATGTTGCTATAACACTACAGCATGACGATATCAATCTGGGTCTCTATAATGGCAGTCTATGGGACAGTTGTTGCTAGGGTGCAGTATCTGGTAGTTAGGGAGTGGCTAGAAAGTTAAAAGCTCGTCCGTTATTGGTAGTTTGGTTGTCTGAGTTGATTGAGCTCAGCCATTAGTCTGTAGGACAGTCTGATGCAGAGTTATAAGCTCTCAAAGTTTGATCCAATGTAAAGTCAATGACAGTCTTTTGAATGGAAGTCTATGGGACAGTTTCTAGGGTCCCAAAAGTGGTTACTAGGGCGTGGCCAGAAAGTTAAAAGCTCATCAGGTATTGGCAGTTAGGTAGTCTGAATTAAATGAGCCCAGTTAGAAGTCTGTATGACAGTCTGATGCAGAGTTATGAGGTCACAAAGTCTGGTCCAATGTTAAGTCAATGGGATTTTTCCGACGGTCCCGGGACGTTTTTCGGAAAACCGAAAGTCAGATCAGTTGGAAAAGATATAGCACACTTAATCAGACCAGTTTGAAGGTTTGGTGTGAGTTTGGTGG